GTTGGATTCACGTGTTGGGCTTTGAAAATAAGGATATGTATCACAGTAATTGGGTGTGTACCAGGGTAAATAAAGACATGTACCAGGATAACCGGGTGTGTACCACGGTAGCCGGGTATGTACCAAGGTAAATAAGGATATGTACCAGGGTAACCGGGTGTATACGCGGATAAATAATTTTCTATCCGGTAACTGGGTAGTCAACGGTCAAACAAGGGTAGATTGATGTTATGTTTGTTGAGAAGGTTAAATTGTTGAAATAATTTATAAATGAAGGCAAGATGGTAATTTTTTATTAGTGAAAGACTACAATAGTCAAAAAGCCCAGATCCAAGACACTGTCACAACTTTGTGAGTTTAATGGCTATATTTTTTGGTTCCCATCAAGCGTGACTTTGATTTAAGGGAAACCATTTTCTCCTTTTAAAGGAGAAATTTTTTCTCCTACTAGTGACTCATAGCATAAGTGGATCCTATTTTGAATTTTTTTCTCTCCACTATTTTGTGGACCCCATTATGTTATGAGTTATTAGTAGAAGAAAAATTTTCTCCTTTAAAAGAAGAAAATGTTTTCCCTTAATTTAATCAGGTTCTCATTTTATATTTTTATAAACCCCCAATCAACCTGAATTATACATGTCTAGGTCTAAGATCCAAGCCTTATTTTTTCTTTAACTGACGTGGATTTAATGTAATGTCTCTAATTTTTATTCTTTTTTGGGTCAAGTTACTAAAAATGAGTTGGTGGTTAAAAAATCGAGTATTTTGCATAAAATTTGTTGCCTTAAATCTCTATATCACTATTGTCGTAAACAATGTTGTTAAATCCGACCCGGTCTAGATATTGAGTCACTGATCAGATCGGTGAATCATTGGTCGGACCGGTTGACCCGGAAATATATAAGTATATAAATATATATATATAAATATGAACATATAAATGTAATTATATTCTCCACATCTAAAATGAATTAAACAAGGTTCACTAAATAAGTTCAAAAACATGAAGCATAAATAAATAAAAATTCACGCTATTACTATGTCAATTTAAATTGCAACTCATAATCTCCATAAACATACCTCTCAAAGACATTGAATTCATATTTTTCAAATTCAACTATATTAAAATAACATATGTCACATTCTCTAATTTATTATTCCGCAAATTGCTTCAGTATTGGAAATTATAATTTGAGGTCATTGTAGAAGAGTTTACTAGAAAATAAAATTACAAAAAAATTTAAAATGAGTTCTACATTTTTTTCTGATAAGATAAAAGAGTTTGATTTTTTGATTTTTTGATTTTTTTTTAAGTGCATGACCCGACCGGGTCGATAGATCACCGATTTTGTTCGGATTTTGATCGAATTTGACCGGATCGATGTATGGACAGTCGAATACTTGAGCTGCACCAGTCTGATGACCGGTTCATCGAATTCCGAGTCAACCCAGCCGGATGGGGGTCGGATTTTACAACCGTGGTCCTAAAAGAATATCGCTACTTTTATTTTTATAGTCGTCATAATTTAACTTGGCGGTGGTTATATGAAGAAGCGTTTTCCGTGGAAGCAATGTTTTAGTATTAAATTATATATTATATCCGTGCATAGGCCGGTTGATTAAATCAAATATTTACGATATCAATTTTGTAATAAATAAATCTCTAATATCTATTTAAATTAATTTATTATTTAAAAAAAACATTATAATCGAAATATTTCTAAAGTAATATGTAGTTGGAAGGATAAAATATCCTTCTAGTAAAAAAATAATAGAAATATTATATTTAATAATTATATAATCTGATTTTGTTTCATTTGTTGGTAATAATATTTATATAGAGTTTGAACGCTAGAGATCATTAGCTTAGGCTTGTAAGTGTAACTCAAGGGTGTTGTTCAGTTTTACGTGTACGAGTAAAATAAAAACAAGATATTCCACAACTAAAAACGTATGGCATGCGTTCCCTTATTTAAGGTACCCAAAGAATCTAGATGTCATTATTGTATGGTCCGTATTCATTTTCTCTTTTTGCTTTCTTCTGTGGCCTCCTTTTTTTTTTTTGACTTTCTTTCATTTTTCTCTTTTTGCCAACGCTTTATGTAACCAAAAAATAAAAAAGAAATAAAGGGGCGTTTGGTACAAGAGATATTTTTTTTTGCCGAAAAAAAAAAGATGGTTGAGGATATGGTATGAAATTTTTTATCCTGGATAAGTTACGAAAAAGCGTTTGGCTGACCAAAATTTTGTCGAAAAAGTTAGGTTCATTTTATTGATGTTATGTTTGGTTAATGATAAAATATTGATGAGAATGTGAATCAAAAATACCAAAATACCGTTTAAAAAAGATAATTATTTGACTCAACATATTATATTCAGAATCTAAGATTTGACAAAAAAAAATACCAAAGGATTAGTGGCATAATCATTTGCCTATATGTAGTTGAAAAAGAAAATACTTGGAAATTATATTTTCTGAGATTTTGTTTATAATACTCTGAGATTTTGTTTATAATATGCAAACCAGATATGATAATTAAATATTTTTCACCTCACTTCCCCGTCATTTCATACCAAACACGCCTGAGGCTTAGCGGAGACCCCAATTTGTAAACCGTAGGTTATTGCTCATAAGGACTCATCGAATTAATATTGAGCTACTTTTATCTCTCGAAAATATAATACTTGATATTTTTTTTTTATAAAATATGACTAAAAATAATTTATTTATATTATTCTTACTTTTATGATTATATTCTTATATATTCCTTTTTGATAAACCTATTCCCGATGCAGGGAAAACACGCACCTCTCCTTTTTGCCCGAGGATTAAAACAAGGGAAATGATATGTTTATAATTATTTTTTATAAATTTTTTGTAAATTATACTATTAATTCTCAAAAATATATAATGTAACTTAACGTACTTTCGAAATATATAATGTAGTTTGTAAAAATTTATAAACAAAATATTTTTTCATAAAAAATATAAAATATAAAATATAAATATAAATTTTTTTTGGACCACAGACCGTCCAAGTTGTTATGTGAACGGAGCGAATGGTCATCTGACCCAGTTCCAAGTAATTGCTTGGAACATGGAACGTGGCAGATAAATAACGGAGTGAGTATATGCTTTTATAGTTTTATTTGAATTGAATGGTTTTGAGTTGAGGCTCAATATTATGAATGATCACAACGAATATTCCCATTTTTTATTGTAAAATATCGGAAGCACGCATCAGCAGTAATTAAGTATAAGCTACGACTTTCAGAGCAACTCGTTTTTTAATTTTGATAAAGACTTTTCAATCATATCAGAGTGTGATAACCTATCCGTGCACTCCAAAGACAAACGATAGTATCCTCTCTCTCTCTTTTTCAATCATACGAATATTTTTTTTTTTGATAGTATCCTGTTTACCCATAGGACAATATGCGGAAAAACTAATGATAAGAAAACTTACATTTGCGTCTAATTTTCTCTTTATTTCACTTTCATATGCTCTCTAATGGAAAAGACTCACGTTTGCATTGATTTTATACACGGACCAATTCTTGGATAGTTAATAATTTCCTCTCGACATAATCTCTTATTGTATAATGATATTTACATGTCAAAATCTTTATATCATTATTACACTTTGTTTTGATTTTTTGGATAAAGAAAGGTAGAGAGAAAATGTATTGAAATATTTTTTTTTTATTTTTTTATCTAAAAAAATGGTATAAAAATAATGTATGATATTGTTTGTATAAATATCATTACTCTATATATAATTATATCTAAGTTTTAGCGAACCACTTCAATTTGTGTTTGAAATTGAACCATACTAATAGTTTGTGTATATTGATGAAAAAGTTATGCAAGTGGAATGAAATTAGTTCAATTCTACTAGATACCGAAATGTTGGTTTGTTAAATGTTAAATCTTAATCATAAATTGAAGATATACTAATAGTAAAGGATCACGGTCCTTAATAATTGTTTTCAACGGTCCTTAAGTTAAGGACGGTAGACTTTTCATCTCTAATAATAAATGGCATAGGCTCTCATCATCTCATGCCTGCTTCAACGAAATGTTGAATGGGTCCTTTTTATTTTTTTATTTTTTCGAAGAAGAAACAAGTACACCTCCAAAATGTTTAGTGATAAAATTATGAAAAATACTACTTTTATTTTATATGAGGTAATTATTTCATTTTATCTTGCTTCGAAAATTTTATCCATTCTTTTTTTTTTTTTTATCTTTTAATGGTGAGCCAGCCTCACGTTGCTTCTTTCTATAACATGAGAGAATGCTTTAATGTAAAATGAGAGTAAGATTCTCCTAAAATTATTAGGTGGCAAACAACTTACTTTTTTTTTATTTTTTTTCGTGTCAATGCTTTTGAATTGAAAACTTCATTCACATTAGGATTTGATATATAAAAATGAGGAGGACCAATACAAATTACAGTTCCAAATATACAAGTATTTTTTAGGGTCAGAATGAAAAGACGTACGAAAGTGTAAAAAGTAGGACACCAATGTGTGTGTTTAGTTTTGATTAATTTTGAGAAAAATATTGTTTCCTTTTCAAAACTTTCCTTGATAAAAAATGTCAAAATTTCTTCAAACGTATCGATAACATTGGGCTCTCAGAACCTTAATTTGTCTGTGTCAAAGATGATATAAAAAAAAAGGCAAAGGTGTTTAACAAACAAAATTATTGACTTTGCAGGTAAAAGACCCTCTACCATAGTACTTGCTCGTTTTAGCTTGAAGCTAACAATAAACTTTATAGGAAGAGAAATCTACCTTTACAAGAGAGATAGATAGAGATAAAAGCAAGTTAACCCTTCCCCAAGTTACTAGGATTGCTAGCAAAGCATGACCAACTTCTTGGAAAGACAAGTTTAGCGTCACTCTTTCCCCAACATGCCACATATTAAGCGTGCCCCCTAAGCTCTCTATTCTTGTTCACTCATTCTTCTATAAAACCCATCTTTCCTCAACATTTGTCTTTGAAGTTTATACACACAAACATTGGATTTGATACATATCAAGACTTATCATCATCATGAATCATAATAGGCTTTCTGAGGAAGGAGAAAGTATTCATCTAGAAGTTGGTGAACTGCAGAGGCTAAGCGAGATAACAAGCACAAGCCCCACCACAATGTTTGAGCCTCGTGGCCTTAACAGTATTGATAAGAAAGACAGTGGTTCTGGTTCTGGTGCTGGTGCTTGTGTTTCTCCAACAGAAGTTAGAGCACCAGAAAAGAAGCTTACCCTCTTTGCTCTGAGGCTTGCAGTGCTTGAAAAAACAGCAACTGGCCTTGGAACTCTTGGTTTTATATGGGCAACCGTTGTTCTTCTTGGTGGTTTTGCTATTACCTTAGACAAAAGCGATTTTTGGTTCATCACCGTCATTCTCTTGAGTGAGGGTACAAGGATTTTCAGCAGAAGCCGTGAACTTGAGTGGCAACACCAAGCCACATGGTCTCTTACTGATGCTGGAATCAATAGCTTCAGGATGTTGAGGTCCAGTTCTAACTTCCTCTTTCAAAGCATTAAGAGCCTTTGGAGGCCAATTGCTGAAGTTAAAAAGCAAAGTCAAAGTAGGAGAGACTCGTTGGAGTCTACTATGGTAACCCGAAGGTATAATGATACCATGAGGTTAAGGACACAAACTCGAACATGGATTAGCTCAGATGTTCCACTTCTACCATATGTTGAATCGCTCTTCCTTTCAAGGCATATCAGTAGGCTTTTGTATTGGCTTCAGCTTCTTTCTGCAACAGCTTGTGTGGTTCTCTCATCAATAAAGCTCATCAAGCGTAATTATGGAGAAGTTGCCAAGGGAGACACTGACAAGAGGAACCGGGAATCTGCTTTGGATATCTTTTATGCATTGGCTCTGGCAGAAGCTTTGTTGTTCTTGATGGAAAAGGCTTACTGGGAATGGAAAATCACCTATTGCAAATTGTTGGATGAGGTTAACAATGAGTGTGAGTTGGGGCCAACAGGGACGGTGTCAATTAGGAGGTTCTTTTATGATGCTTATTCTAGGTGTATCAATGGAAGCATATTTGATGGCTTGAAAATGGACATCGTTAGTTTTGGTATGGATCTCTTGGCTTCAAACTCACCTGATGAGCAGCTGATTGGAGCAAGAATTCTTCGCCAATTCGCGGTGAGTGAGAGATTTTCAGATGATACACTTCAAAAGATTGGAATTTCCATATCTGTGGTAGAGAGACTAGTTGAGATGTTGAATTGGACAGATGACAAGGAGGAAGAAATTAGGCAATCAGCTGCGGAGACTTTATCAAAACTAGCTGGCAAGAAGCAGAACTCGCTTCGCATAGCTGGGATACCAGGAGCTATGGAATCAATATCATCTCTTCTCCAAACTAACAGGAATTCTATACCTGCAGCTGATGAAATTGGAGAAAAGAAACATGTGCTTGATCATCCCAATTATGGTTTCTGGACGTTTAACCATTTGGGACTCCTCATTCTGAAAAAACTTGCCCATGATCATGACAACTGTGGAAAGATTGGAAACACAAGAGGCCTACTCCCTAAGATCATAGATTTCACACATGCTGAGGAAAGGTTGCTCAAGAATGAAAATGTTACTCCATCCCAAATACTGACAGTGAAGAGATCTCTGCAGCTGGTGAAGATGCTTGCTAGCACAGCAGGCTCTCATGGGAAACATCTTCGAAGAGAGATTTCAGAGATAGTTTTCACAATCAGCAATATCAGAGATATTTTAAGGCATGGAGAGAAACATCCCTTGCTACAGAAACTGAGCATAGAAATTTTGACCAGTTTGGCATTGGAAGAGGAGGCAACGGAAAGGATTGGGGGTACAGGTGGAGTACTTAAAGAATTGTTCAACATATTTTTCAAACATTTCATGCCTGAAAAGAAAGATCTAACTAGTGTTGCTGCTGAGGCCCTAGCAATGCTGGCATTACAAAGCAAGAACAATTGTCATCGGATTTTGAAGTTGAGAGTACTGGAAGAGCTGGTAGAAACATTGAGAGTTCCACAGCTTCGCATCAATGCTGCTAGAATTCTAAGAAATTTATGCACCTATAGTGGAACAGAATACTACAACCAGCTAAAGGGGGTTACAGTTGCAGCACCCGAAGTAAGTGTTACTCTGACCATTATAATTTTGAGCTACTAACATGTGAGCTTTATAGTATGTTTCTATTCTATCCAGAAAAAAATTGCATAGATGATTAAATTGATCAATTTTTAACCATTCCTCAACCTTGCAGATACTTCAGGCAATCATGTCAGAAGAAAACAAGCTACAAGAAGTGATGATTGGACTAGCAGCAAATGTTTTCGCATTCATGACTTCCACTGAATCAAGAACTGTATTTGAAGAATGTGGAATCACTGAAGCTGAACTGGCATATAAATTAATCCAGATTCTCAAAAACCATCAATATCCACCAACTAAGGTCCCAAGGATAAGGAGGTTCGTGATAGAGCTGGCGATTTGGATGATGAAAGACAAAGCAGAAAACATACATACTTTTAAGGATCTTCAAATGGAGGAGGTGCTAGAGGGTGTCTTAGAGACCACATCAGAGCTTGAAAGTTTTAATGTTTTCTCCGGTAGTGTGGGACTGAGCCGGCACCATCTAACAGTTCACTCACTGGTTGAGACAGCATTGGAGTTGCTGGAAGATAGGTAAAATAACAATCAAACACAGAACCATATTGCAAAATTTGTAAACCATGTTGACTCACAGCAACCATTGTAATAGTATACTTGTACATATATGTTTGCTTGGGCTGGAAAGCTAGCCAGACTCAATAACTTATTCATTAATTTTTTTAAATTTTTTTTATTTTAAAGATTCAATGTTATATATTTGATTAAAATTATCCATATTTCTATGAACTGGGAATTTTACTTGTGATTGTTATATTATAACATCTATATATTGTCAAAACAAAGGTTCATAGTATATAGGTGCTGGATGTTTTGGTGCTACAGTGGAGGCAGCCAATATAGTTATTCTAACAATAAACTAAACAAGTAAAATGAGAGACATATTGAAGAAATTTGCATTATTGACCGATCCAAAAAAAAATTCAACCACTTTCCCTGTGTCTATGAAAAATATCTAAATCAACTATTATAGTTCTTTGACAAATAAACAAAACACAAAAAACATTCAAATGGAACCAACGCATCAAGTGTAAACAATAGTCATATCTTAGAATCCTCCTAGAATGCTGCTCTCAGTCCCTACTCACGACTTATTTACAAATCACTGAACAAAAAAAATTTGTAGACTCCAGACTAACATCCTAGGCAATTACTTTGGAGACCACTCCTGCACCAACTGTTCTGCCTCCCTCTCTCAAAGCAAATCTTTGTCCTGTCATAAGAAAAGTTGCACATATGAAATTAAAGTAAATAATAACTAAGAAACAAAGACAATGCATGTACAGTTACAGCTCCTGATTTCTGTTAAGTAATTAATAGAAAAAAAATATTGTGACCTATCAATTATCATAGATAATGCAGCATCTTTATGTTCTATGTGTGACATCTAGATTCTACCTACCTGGTTCAAGAGGAACTGGTGATATCAGCTCAAAAGTTGCCGTCACGTTATCACCAGGCATAACCATCTTAACATTTTCAGGTAATTCCACCTTTCCGGTAATATCTGCAGTCCTCATGTAAAACTGAGGCCTGTAATTAGAAAAGAAAGCAGTATGACGACCACCTTCATCTTTCGAGAGCACATAAATCTCTGCTTCAAACTTCTTATACGTTTTCAATGCACCAGGCTTGGTGACAACCTGTGATTTTCACCAAAAGTAGGTTTTAAAAAAGGAAAAGAAAAGAAAAAATTGGTTAGTTTTCATAAAATGAATGAACCTAAATGAAACGGTGAATTGCAGTTTTTTCTTTTTTCATATATTAATATTACTTTACACTTTAAATCAGCTTCACTCACCATTCCCCGCTGTACATCATCACGCTTCAGACCACGTAGAAGAAGTCCAACATTATCACCAGCCTAGAAATGAACACAAATTAGGATATCCAATTATTCATGAATCCAAATCTCAGGGAAAAAGGAAGGAGGGGGTGAGGAGGGTTATACGATTTTACTCACTTGGCCATGATCCAAAATTTTCTTGAACATTTCCACACCAGTTACAGTAGTTTTCAAAGGTCCATCCTGTACATGAAGACTGATAAATACAAAAGCATTTACCATAGAGCAAAACACTTATGGACATGATAATACATAGTTAACTTCCATGTATACCTGTGTTAGTCCCAATACTTCAACTTCCTCTCCAACTTTGATGGTGCCTTGTTCAACACGACCAGTCACAACAGTTCCACGCCCCTTCACATAAACCAAAGATGGTAGAAGGAACATATCAGGAAGAGTACAGAACAGCATACAGTAAAGATTAAAGCAAGGCCATTTTATAAGATTATTATAATTAGGACAATAATTAGACTGAGTAAATGTAATTCCCAGAAAAAAATATAGTATACAAGGACTACTAATCCTGTCTATCAATTTTGCACTATGTCAAAAAGCAGAAACCTCTTACAAGAAACACTTGTAAAAGAAGATAGTGATAGATATTGATAATGACTTTTTGGTAGGGTTATATTTTTGCCCAGGAATTGCATTCCATTATGAAAATGATACTTCAATAAGAATAATTCCGATACACATTTGACATTTCTGCTTACCTGAATTGAGAAAACATCTTCTATTGGCATTAAGAAAGGCTTGTCAAGCTGCCTCACAGGATCAGAAATGTATTCATCCACAGCTTCCATTAGTTTTAAGATAGCCTTCTTTCCAAGTTCTTCATTAGTCCCTTGCAAGGCAGATAGGGCTGAACCTCGTACAATAGGTATCTCATCCCCTGGAAATTTGTAGAAATTAAGCAGCTCTGCAAAAAAAATGTGTCACAGGATGCACATCCATTTATTAGAAAAAGCATTCTGATAAGTGTTAGATTCTATTTCTTCCCATTCAAATAAAATTATAAAGAAACTCTTCATACCACGAAGTTCCATTTCCACAAGTTCAAGTAGCTCTGGGTCATCAACAGCATCAACCTTATTTAGAAAGCAGACCAATGATGGCACACCAACCTGACACAGGATAACAATTAACAAACAAAACACATTATAAGTTATGGTTTTATGCTTTTGGTATGTACTTAGATTTTATAGAAACTTGGTTTTACTTTTATATGTTAACAAAATGAACCACCAACCTGACGAGCAAGCAGTATATGTTCCTTTGTTTGAGGCATTGGCCCATCTGGAGCAGAAACCACAAGAATTCCACCATCCATTTGCGCTGCTCCAGTTATCATGTTCTGTAATTTCACCAAATGAATCAAGATAAGATAAAAATAAGATCATTAATTATGTTCAAATAAGATCATGCATTCTTCAAATTAATGCAATGTATATTTATTCAATATACAAGGAAAAGCACTATAGTCATAATTTACACTTAGAAATTGGACCCAAGACATAAAAATAATCTTTCTGTTCATGGTGATGCGTTAACATAATCTGTCTCCAACTATGCCTGATCATCAAGCTTACCTTAACATAGTCCGCATGTCCCGGGCAGTCAACATGAGCATAATGCCTCTTTGCTGTTTCATACTCTACATGAGCCTGCAAAATCGAGAGAAAACCTATGATAAGCTCAAGAGATGCTAACAAAATTTTGATTGTAAAACATTTAGCTCTGTATCATTCACAAGATGCATAATTTGAGTATGGACATAAACAAAATCAAAGGAACTTTCTCTCACTGTAGCAATAGTAATTCCTCTCTTCTTCTCTTCAGGAGCCTTGTCTATTTCTTCAAAGGCAATGGCCTTGGCTTTACCTTCTTCAGATAGCACCTGTTCCACAAAATCAATCCTCTCGTATAAGTATTGCCCAGCACAAGACCTGAATCACACAAAGTTAATGCCAAAAAGAAATTGAAAAAGTTGAATTCCTCTCCACTATTTAAGTATCAGCACATGGAAATCAACCCAAACCTTTGTAATTGCAGCAGTTAGTGTGGTTTTCCCATGATCGACATGCCCAATGGTGCCCACATTAAGGTGAGGCTTTCTGCAAAAGAGAACAACATGAAAAGAAAACATAATTTAAACAACCCTCATAACAATAGCATGCAAAGATCCTTCTCTAACTGCTATCTGTATTTCAATATCCATAAACATACCCAATGCCTCCAAAAGGATTGATTTGAGGGAAAATTTCAAAAAAGGAACACTTGACAAAACAAGGAACAATTGGAACTAGTTACTTAGGTCAATTTAAGCTAATATATATATATATATATTTTTTTGGTAATCAAGCTAATATATTACTTATACATAATAACCACTTCCAATTTAAGTGATTAAAGGTTGCACCTTTCTTCATCTGCATGACTGCATGTACGCAAGTTAATCACCACATGCAATGATAGATGTTATATTCAAGTAAGCAAGACAAAATAACATAAAACACATTGGCCCCACAAGAAGCTGAAAAGAAAACCTTCAATTAATAACATCTCAATTAAAGAGAAGAGAAAGAGAGAGAATTATTGTCCTCGGAAAACGAGGGTCTTACGTTCGAGTGAAAGTAGCCATTGATCTCCGCAGAGAAACAAGACCCCATGGAAGTGCATTACTGTAGAGGGGGAAGCTTTGGGAAATGGTGCAAATTCCGCGAGAGACCGAACGATAAGCAGATATGAAATGGAAAGAGAGAAGAAGGTGCTTAGAATTTGGGTTTCTGAAAGCAATGGAAGCCATGAGATTGGATCACACACAATCCACAGAGAACAAAGGAGAGAGAGAGAGAGAGAATGATCACTGTAGAACTGAACTGAGAGTGTTCAGTGTGAACAGTCGCAGGTTGTTGGTTCATGACCTACTTGGCGCTGTGTTTAGCTGACACGTCATCAACAGAATCCGCAAAAACATACGCTAATAAAGCCCGATAAATCGAAATTCGCTCACACTTGCAGCATTCATGCCTATTGGTTCATTTTGATTTCTGGCGCCGCCAAAAAAATCTACAATAAAATTTTTAAGTTAAGAGAATGCAGTTGAAACTTTTTGCAGAAGAAGTTTCACCCATTACCTGATTGATAATAAGTCTACACGCTCACACTATCCTTATATATGCCTTGAATAATTTCACTTAAGATAATAAAATCCATCCCTTAATATAAAGGGTTTAATTTCACGTTATACGATATAATCTTATTTGTTAGGAGGTAGGATGCTTTGAAATCGGTGTCAAATTTTAATTTTGATATCGTGTCAAATTTTAATTTTGACATCTCATCTCAGAACCGTTAGATAAAAAAAAATCAATGACTCTGATTTGTAAACATGTGACACCATTGATTTTTTTTGATCTAACGGTTCTGAGATGAGGTGTCAAAATTTTGACACCGATGTCAAAATATCCTACCTCATTTCTTATATATATAAAAGTATACGAGATTTATGTTTTTTTTTCTTTTCTTTATATAACCTATGTGAGGCCACATATATTTTTATGTATATGAGTTAATGATTTTTATATCGGATGCAGAAATAAAATTTCTACGTCAGACACAAAATTGAAAGAGAGAAAAATGAGAGAGAGAAAGAGAATTTTGTGTCGGATACAAATTTTTTTTTTCCTGCATTAGATGCAAAAATCATTAGCCCAATGTATATATAAGAAATAAAATATAATTTTATCACCTACAACTTCAGAAATATCAATTGAGAGATACTTATGATTCAACAGTTGAAGATAGGGTATTCAACAATCGATTCAAATCGCGGTGATCGAACCGAAAAACTGAATAAATCAAAAATCGAAAAATCGAAAACCAAAAACAAAAATCTGTAAATTTTAATTGGATTGGATCGATTTTCGGATTGGTTGATGAAAACCGATCTAATCCAAACCGATCTAATATATTGATTCGCCTCTACCTACTAAGGTCTTTCCTCATTCATAGCCTAAAAATTTCTAAACTCAAGACCATTAACTCTTCAACAAAATTCAAAAAAAAATCTAGTCACATTTCATCAACAAAATTTTATCTATGTAGAACTTCATATCTCATTGCTAAAAAAAAAAATACTTTATTATTGTTTATTGATGTTTTTGTATTTTGACTACTTAAATGAAATTAGATAACGAGAGTGTTTGGCAAAATTATGCATATTAACATGGAAGGAAATTGTCACACTAACCAATTGATAAATTTTTTTATTTTTTATTTTTTATTTTTTAAAAAGATAGTCACATATTTATATCATGGGTGAACACAGCTCCATTTAGAGTTCTTACTTTCATCATCGTGTTGGGAGCGAAAGGATATGATCCTCCCCTCATAAGATTTATGAGTTAATTACTGATGGAGTCACCTTACCCCATCTAGCTTTAGCTAGTTAGTTTTTGATTTTGGGCTTGGGCCCTCTGTACCAAAAACAAATGCACTAATAATGCTAACATCATTTGTAATTTTGTATCAGTAACTTCAACTTTAATGTAATTATCAGAGTAAACATCATTTTTAGTCCTGGCAATATCTACGAAGTCATTTTCAGTCCCTGGCAATAAAAAAGGACTAAATTGATCCCTGAAAGTACAAGAAAAGGGTCACTCTACATATTTGGGAGTTGACATAAGGACTAACATGATCCTTTTTTTGTAATTTCAGGGACCAATTTGATCCTTTTTTATTGTCAGAGACTAAAAAGGACTTCGTAGATATTGACAGGGACTAAAAAGGGTGTTTACTCTAATTATTATTTAAGAAAACTAAAAAAATATTAGAAATAAAGTGTTTATAAGATGTTGTTAAACTCCACTAATATTTCCAAAAATAAAAAAGGGAAGACAAATGCCAAATTTCTTTGCCAACACGTTATTAGGTGAAAATAATATTTACAACCTTAGAAGTAGTGGATTCATCCGAGTACTTGAATTGGCTAGTGTGATTAAACATTTTAATATGTAGAGGAACGTATCAATTTGTAGCATGATACAAGGTAAATAGAAGTGATATGAAAAACATTTATTCAAACAAAGACATTTATTCAAACAATGTACGGTGAGTCTTTTAGAATTAGAATTAATAAATAACCATCTCCAGGAAGATTTATTCGACTCCAAGAAATCTACAAATTCAAGGCCTAACAAAAAGAACATGCAACACCATTCTTCGTTAAGAAAATGCATCCAAGGAAGGTTAAGAACATCATGCATAACCATGAGCCAATAATGGTGACATCCACAAATCTTTGTTTGAGCGGGTAAAAACACAACAATTCTCTCTTACACTCGAAGAATATTAGAAGATTCGTTAGATGATAATCTAAACATACTAAGTTTACATACTAACAACTTTTTTTTTTGTCAAGCATTTTACAAACTGTAAATTTTTTTAGTTTAAAAAAAAATGTATAACTATAATCAACTCTAGATAAATGAGACACTCTCATCTTATCGGTTACGGCTGTTTCTGAAAAATTTGAAATCCCAACGACGCATTAAGCCGTTCATGACATGGCCTGGTGGATTCCTAACAACAGTTAAGGTTGCTTTTGTATTATGTGATATGTCAGTGTCTAATGAACTTTGTACGCTAGCAGAATTATCACCAGACTCAGTGACTGATGAAGTGTCTAATGGTGGTGTTGGTGATGCTGCACTTGATGAAAGACATGGTACTGAACTTGGTTCAGATGCCAAATTATGGGAATGAATCACTAAAATAGAATTTGACTCAGCTTTCAAGGGCCCACATACATCAGATGCAGTGGAAGTTGTTTCTTCTGTTGAATGCATGCTGTGCTTGACAAAAGATGATTCTGTCTCCATAGGTTTGGAAATTTCATGTGAAGAAGCATCTGAACCATCTTGATCTGATGGCTCTACACACATGGTAGTACTAAAACTGCTGACGGGTGGTTGCTCAACCTCTGGATTTCTTGTTTCCAGTTCTTTCAGTGACTTGATCACTGCTTCCATGAACATCTGAATAATATGGACAAATACATAGAAAACCAATGATTCATCTTTCGTTGTGTATACCATCATGCATTCAAGATTTCAAATTATGTGATTGCCAATAAGTTGACTCACTCTTTCTTCTTCCTCAGCACTAGATGGAAAGCCTTCAAGGTCATCAAGTTGATATTCTACATACTGATCATCATCCGATGTGGTTGGAACATGGGGACCATGGAGATCATTATTTGATAGTTCAAAGCTAATCATTGTTGATGATGAGGAGGAAAGATCATCACATTTCTCTTCCTGCTGTGCAAGAATATAATGCAAAATTAGTGAATCTAGTTGCTTTAAGTTTGATCACCTAACCTACTCCCTTCAACTCATGCCTCTGATTAAACTTCTTGTTTATTTATTATTCATTAATAATTATTTTTTCCCGTCTTTATCTGAAGCTATACATTTGAATAAATTACATTCGAGCCTTCTAGGAGCACCCGTAATAGTTAACCACCAGGCAAATGTACAGCATAAATTTACTATTCGTATGAAAAAAGAAAAAAAAATATAATTCAGTACAAAGAAAAGAAAAAGAAAAAGCAAATTACCTCATGGTCACGATGTTCATCTTTTGAAGAAATATCTGATGGAACCTGACAAAGTCAAACAACATATATTAAGAAATCAAAAACTTAGAAAAACAAAAACTATGCCATTGAAAGAATTTAAACAAAATTCAAGTCATGACAGATAAAATGGCCACATCTTCCATGGCCATGTGATAAGATTTTTACAGTATTAATAGAAAGGATACTAGCAAACGATACAAAGAACTCTCTCCGAATGATTGTGTTAGATATAAAAATCATTTATGTGTTTCACCTAACAACTTAAGCTTTTGGGAGAGTTGATAAGTAGTTTGATTCTTGCCACCTTCATTCTTCTAAATACAACTTAAATTTCAGTTCATGGTAGGCTTATTACATTGTCCACATTTCAAAACAAATAACTCTTGCATTAGAGAACGTGTTAGATATAAAAATCATTCATGAGCTTTACCTAGCAACTTAAGCTTTCAGAAGAGCTGGTCATGGGTTCAACTTAAGCATCAAAGTTCTAAAAATGTTGAGCTGCTAGATATCTTTGCTGTAGAGATTATGGAAAGTTAGGTGAATCATGGGTCTGTTCTGCGAGCTTGGAGCATTTTCTTCTAGGTAAATTCAAGGTTTTTCAGATGTAAGGAAGGCGATGTTCTATGGCAATGTGAGGATTTTGCAGTTATTTGGTGGTGATAATGATTGGAGATAAATGCCAGCATTTTCAAGGAAAACATTCTGCTGCAGCCACTTTAATGGGATAAAATTGTCTTCTTAATCCGAATGGATTTTACAGAGGTGTATCTTTCAGATATCAAGTGAGATGGCAAGTGAACCAAAGGAAACCCAAACCGACAAAAAAGAAATGGAAATTAAAGGAAGGAAAGAAGATCTTTAGGGATATTAATTTTGCCCTATTTCCAGACAAACTGGTATTGCACAAAGCACCATATCAAAGTTTTAGTTGGTTTCAAATTATTTGTCACTTTAGAAAACCAAGAAGGCATTAATTACTTTTTTCCAACTTTATCCTTGTCTTTTGGTATCTCTACTAAGTGGAATAAGAGAATATTAATGAAATGAGAGGGTAATACATTCAAATGAACTTGTTCTTTTCCCTAAAATTGAGATTATTCAAGGAGTTTTTTCATCCTTGAGCATGACGTGACAATTATTCTGATGCAGATGGAGTAATATTCATCGCGTGAATATTTTCCTGGCAACCTGTTTGCATGCTATTCTGACAGTAAACTAAGAGCAAGTAAATACAAACCTCCATCCGACTCATTGGTCTTTTTGAACGAACTTGCTTAATGGCATCCACAGTACTGCTTGTTGATGGTTCTGCAACTAAAAAAGAAACAACTAAGATATTTGCATAATCTATGTTACCAAATGCAGATCCTCATAGATACCAATGCAGAAGGAATAGTTAAAAGACACTAGGTACTTGAGTCATGCCTTTGTTTTCAGATGATGGTTTATTGCCACAGCCTAATTCATGCACAGATCTCCAAACACCCTGAGTAAAAGCATTTTAACTTTAAGAAAAATGTTCAAGAATGGAACTTTGCATTTTGACCAAAATGGAACAAAAGAGATGCATGGTGAATTTACCTTACCAAAGCAATCATTCGTAATGTCAAAAAATGATTCCCCAAGCTCATCCTCTGGAGGTTGCAAAACATTGTGGAAAAAGATGTTTATGGAATCAAAATAAAACTGAGGGCGTGGAGAGTTGTGATCTCCCTCAAATTTAATTATGTTTTTGTCTCCCTACAAACCATAGGCAGAGCCATATTAAAGATCCCAAAGGCCAGGCATAAGAGAATCAGTGAGAACTGAGAAGATAAAACAAAGAGCATATGAAGTGGTATATAAAAATGATAATTAGAAGATAGAAGACCCAAAACATATCCTATCTGAGAAACTATCTATCTAGAAAACATATTTAATAATTTTGAAAGCAGCAAGCATGCTCTAAAGTAACTCACGTTTACAAAATGACATGAAGATTTAGTCTAACCCAGAACTGGAAGAAGTTTAGTTTTGTAAATCAGTTTAATTTTTTAAAAATAAAAAGGATCTTACGGACATACTTACCATGTAAGCCTCGAGTATACGATCCGAGTGATGAGGATGTATAAAATCATCATCAATGGCATGCCCTAGTAATGCAGGAACAAAACAAGATTTTGCTACCTGCAATGCAAACAAATAATAAATGAATACAATGCAGAATATAAAACTGTGAAAAAACAAAAGAAATTCAATTTTATAAAATTTTCCCCAAAGAAATATTTCCAATAAAGTTTTGCATTTAGTTCAGATTTTTTACCTGAAGATCTCTCTTACTTTAGACAGAAAAAGAAATATTAATAAATAAGAAGGGGAAAATAAAAGAGAGAAGATTTCTACGCTTTTGAAAGAAAAGCTCACAAATTATTTTTCTGTAATACTAATCAATCATTACACACAACCAGGCAAATAAAAGTAAATTCTTTCATCAAACAAACTTCTATAGGGGAAAAAATCAAAAGGAAAAATAACCTTAATGGTGTTCAAGTCCACGATGTCGAATTTTGCCTTCTTCTGGATTGTTCTTCGCATGTATTGAATTGCAAACTTCACCTGTTACAAGAAAAAAAAAAAATGAGCATAACAGTAATGCCATGAATCCATGGTCTCCAATTGTTCTTCATTATTTCTGCACATAAATGATTTATTAATATATGGGGAGGTCATAGGGCAATGACAATCTATTCTAATAAGAGAGAAACAAGGGCCATGAGTATAACGTATTTCAAATGTTCATTGTAAGGTCTAAACATAATCATATGTTGCACACTACAGATATTCTCAAGCCCCTAGCAAAAATAGTAATAGTTTTGTCGCAGCTGCAACATAGCTCCATAGTAAATTGTAGTCCCGGTCAACTCCTTTTCAAGAAATAGCCTCTAAAAAAGCATCTCTACAACTGCCATGTCACTCATCACAAAACATGCATACGGGCACCAAAGACTACATTTTCAAAAAAAAAAATTCAAAGAAAAAGCAAATGTCTAGGACAGACATGAAGAACAAGCTATTAAATTCCAGCCTGGATGGATAGGGATGTTCATTGGTATTGAAATGAAACCTCCTCCAATCAAACTTCTGGTCATAATATGTGGTCACATACCATAGACTAAGCCTGAAGGTAGTTTTAATAACCTCAATATAAAGGAGCATTAAAAAATGAAATGATATTATAGATAGATGACTTCTATAAAAGGTATTCTCATTTTCATCCAAAAATAGAGTATACTCACTGTGAATTTTGGCAGACGGATTCTGTATGTATCTACAAGTTCCATCATCAAATCAACCAAATCAGAGAAGGGACTGTCTAAAACCATCCCTGCAATTGAAGGATCCTCGGCTCCATACATAAGGCTGCAAGGAATGACATCATTAATGGCAAGAAGAAAAGACATATACACTAAACTATGTGGTTTCTATTCTTTAACAAACTAACCAACTTCTTAGCAGCAATTAACTACAAGATTTGAGTAATAATGGAACACATTACATGTTCTTGCTACAACGCTATGCATGACGATAACTAGAAAACCTTTCTTTAACCTTACTCAAAATATAAGGTCAAATGAAGAAGTGAATGATGAAATCCCACCTAGTCACAGCACCCATTGAGCGTCCCCATAAGCCAATCAGAGAGACATTTCCATCTGTCCGCAGATAGTTGACCACAGCTCTCAGATCATCCTTCTGAAAACAGCCAAGAGTATTAAATAATCTTCATAATAAAAAATGGAAACAAAGCAAATGCAAGTAAAGCATATGCAAACTTCAAGTGGAAATGAAACTCAAGCATTTCTTTTCTACTGTGAAGCAATTTATTAAAAAAATGAGGATAAGTATCCTGCCTCAGGCAGATGACAAGTTTCATATTTTCTGCCAATATATTCATGTTACCAAAATTAATTTGGACCAGTTGATAATACTTTTAGATTGAATTTGTGAATATGCAAGTTCATTTGGTCTTCCTCTACCCTTTTTAATTGAATTACCTTCCATTTTATCCACTTTTTTTTAACTAGAGCCTCTAAATGGTCTTCTCCTTAAATGATCAAACACCTTAGTTGAGTATCTGTCAGCGTCTTCTCAACAGTTGCTCCTCAGAATTTGGAAAACATTGGTTCCTAATATTATCTTTTCTTGTATGTCCACTCATCCACTTCAGCATTCTCAATTTCTCATCTATACTACATTTATTTTTTGCTCTTCTTGGCACTTCAATGCCCAATAGAGAATATTCACTACCATAAAGCACTGGTGGTCTTATAGCTATCCGGTAAAAATTTCCTTTGAGTTTGATGGCACTTTACAACCACAAATTACACCTAAGTGCCTCTCCATTTTATCCACCTATCTTAAATCCCATGTGTTACATCCCCACTATTACTTTGGAAGATGGATTTGAGATACCTAAATCATGCAAATGGTGGCATGACATAATCCCCAATTTTCACCTCCAAAACATTGAGGCACTAGCTCTTGGATGTGCCCAGTTAGGATGTTATTTATGACAAGATAGAGATGAAAAAAATTAACTCCCGCACAAAGAACGGATCAGAGAGAGCAATAAGATCACATTATATGAATGATAATGATAAAACTAGACATGATATCTTTCAAACAGTTATTGAGCAAGCACTTACTTCATTCCATCCTAATGTGACATGCTCCCCTCCAGAAATTCCAGATCCCGAGAAATCCAGGGTAAAAACTGTAATATTTGAAGGAAGTAAAATTATAGCAGCTTCACTGGCATCAGCCCTGCATCCACTGCCATAAACATTTCAGAGAGTAAGCAACCCTAGATAAGTACACTTAAATGTCATGTTTATCACTTCTCCAGTTCTCTTTTTATGCTGAATTATCCATTATATCTGTTTTTAAGCACAAACAATGAGAGAGGATATACTTTTAGTCAATAACAAATATTTAAAAAAGAAAAAATTTCAAACTAGCATTGTTATGTTGAAAATGCAGCAATTCCCACATGGTCGCCACATCAAACCAATCGCATGTATATACATTTATACAGCTACATAAAAAACTGGATAAGAAACAATTTAAAAAATTGTGACCGTGAGTTAACTTCTAGTTATATGTTTGATTGAAGTACCCTCGTAGGAAAAGGTGCAAAAATATTATCTTCTGAAATTGATCAAAGAGCAAGTAACAATCAACCAACACATTTTCTAATCATGTATCAAACAAAACACACATATATTATCTGCGTTAAACTATTAATATGCACAGTGATTTCATATTGTTCTTCTCTAAATTAAAAAGAATAAAAAAAGACAAACCCCGATACATAAGGCTCCCCAACTTGCAAAAAGAAAAGAAAAAGAAAACACACAAATCTCCAAAGCAAAGTCTGAAGTGTCCAGAATAAAACTTTACAGTTTGAATAGAACTCTTTGAAGCATCAACCTGCATGTTAACAAACAAAGAAATGAATATTGTCCCAGAGTCACCTGTTTCCATGGCAATATATTACGCAGGGCAGAGGCTTTCCATCAGGACTGACAATAGGCAAGTAATGACTGCATTGAAGAACATCACCACGGCTGTTCTTTATCTGCAGAATATCATATTTTACATGACAGGCTTATAATTCAGGCCATCAACTCAACTACATAGAACATGACTTAAATAATAAAAGATTGCTCATGTTGGAAACAAACTATGACATTAACAAGAACTTCCCAATTGAATTGGTACATAAAATTAGATCATTGCATGCATGAACTTTTTATGTGAAAAATTAAATAGATGTATTGTGCACAAAAGGAATCACCACAAAGATGCAAGTTGAGTAAAATACTAGTTCTGATATTTTTCTCGTCCAACCATAGTTTAACTCTTTTTAAATGTGACCAACCCATCCTTCCATGCTGACATTCTAGAAAAGAAGTACTTCTTGTGAAAGTTCTCCAAAAGAGCAATCAGATAATTGTGGGTTCGAACAGATTATGAAACAGAATTTCTTTCAGGGTAAAAGTTATGGCCTCATAAATAGAATCTTTTTCAAGTATATTGTTGATAATTGATTTGTCCTTCTAGGTATGTGTTAATATCAACTCCACTCTCAAATTTAATTCTACACCAAATTACATGCCCAAATCCTCGTTGATGTCAACAATGTTCTGTCAAAAAAAGATCTCCCTTTTGCCACTAATTTTGTCTATTGACATTTGATAGTCATCTGTCAGAGGAATTTAAGAAAAAAATTATTAAAAAAAAAAAAAGGTTTAGATTCCTAAACCTGTAAGTTATGAACTATTGAAAAGGGCAAATACTGCTACACAGACAAACCTTTCGGTCACAAAATAAAACCTTGCCATTACTTCAAGACTTGCCCTCAATTATGAACTATGAAATAAGATAAAATCAATCTTTTAATGCATTTCCACAGATCCAATGCTTTTAATAACATGCTGAATTTACTTGTTAACCTTACCTCCACGTCCTTCCTTTGAAACCATTTCCCTTTTAGCACGAACTCATGGTCCAATAAATCACGTTTTGGATCATATTCAGCTCTGCATGCCAGTAACAGATACAATCATAATATCACTAATTTTAAAATTTGAAATGAAAATAGTGTAACGAAATCAGTGAGGCATGTAGATAACAGAAGTCGATGTCAGTTCATCTTAGGCCTTAATTGCAGAAAGATGACATGAAGTATGTAGCTATTCTGTGATGGGCTCACGGTATAGAACTACATAATTTGCATAACCATGCCTCATTTTCAGAATACTATTTTCACATGCTTGTGTAGAAGAGGAAGAACTTTGCAGTGCAAGCTTGTTGTACCTATCAGTGTTTATAGTCTTGGTACCATGTAAAGCAAGTTACATTACAGAAAGTAAGACTTTTACGGTAGCTTAAAAATAGATCTCAAGTTTCCAACCAAACAAACAACAAACCAAGATAACATGATGTAATAGCACACCCCATCAATGACTCTCATGGAGAAGCAAAAAAATAAAATAAAATGAAAACATTGAATATACTTATATCTTGCTCTAGCCCTTCTCTTTAGGAAAGAGAACTACAGTGATCCACATTTATACTAAAATTCAAATTAGCCAAGTTGAGTTGAGGCTTGCAAAGAATAAAAATAAAAAATTCGTATTCCTTCTCATTCCAACTTAACAACAAGAAGCATAAGCAGATACCCATCTGGGAATATGAAGAGGGGAAAAAAAAAGGATAATACTTTGATAGAAAAAGTTATCCCAAGAGAGAGCAAGAAGGAGAAAAGTTGATACCTTGGTGGTCGAATGATGAAGTTGACAAGCTGCTCCATATTTTTAAACGATCAGAGATGATATATGTCAGCTCCTCAAACAAAATGTATCAATGTTTTATCATAAATATTTGTAGTTGCAAGGGAAAGAGAAGAAGAAGAGGAAAGAAGAAAAAAGTAGGCAAGGGAAGAGAGAGAGAAAGTCCTTGATGGGGTGACAATTGTGAGACAAAGAAGATGAAACAGAAAGAAAAGGACCAGACCATGCTTTTGTTATTGTTGGTCTTTTGTTTGCTTCCAACTGTGCTTCTTTTGTTGGGAAAAACAAATAAAATAAAATAACATAAGAAAATATTTTTCTCCTTTTACATTTTAAATTGAATTCATTCTTGCATATAGATCATTTTCGTGCCATTCTTTTAAATTGCTGACCCCATCTTATTGTCTCTACACGAATGAATTCTTCTCTTATGTAAAAAGAAATAAATATTCTCCAAATAAAATAACCATAAAAATATATAATGGAATTGTTGTCGTTGTCAACCAAGTCCAAGTTTCGGCTGCATCGATGGCTGCCAAACTTCCAAGTGGATACAGTTGGTTGGGGATCAGGTGCTGCTGCCCCAATCGAAGCCTCATAATTTCAAACCCAATGGGCTATCAAATGGGCAAATAGCAAAATACATAGAGGTGGAGTGTAGAATACAATCTTATTAAACTCGGTCCGGTTATTGAATCGGTCGAGGTACTTGGTCACTAGTTTAATCATATGACCCGATAAATATATATAAATTTATAATTTATATTAAAAAAATTATAAATATACTTAAATACCTGTAAAAAAATACACCAATTTTAAATATTTTAATATGAAAAATAAGGGAAATGTTATACTTACTACCTCTTTTTCTTACTACCTCTTACTACCAAATCTTAACCGTTGATTTCTGCCAATCCAACGGTTATAATTTATTAAAAATTAATAATTAATTAACAAGTATGACTTAATAAATTATAACCGGTCGATTAACGGAAATCAATAGTTAAGATTTGATAGTAAGAGGTAGTAAGAAAAAGAGGTAGTAACTATAACATCTCCCGAAAAATAATAAATTACATATCATTGTCCAACAAAAAAGTAATCAAACATATAATATTTGTTATACTAATGTTTCAGGTTCAGTAACGACATTTTTAATTATAAATCAAATCAAAATTCTCTACATATTGCATAACCAAGATAATATTAGTGTTTTAAGTACATAATCTATGTAAATTAATAAGCTACAAATCGCTCAAATATTTCAAAAGAAAACAAATCATTTGTGTTTGAGAGTTAAAAGAAAGAAGAAATCAATTGATGGGAATAAATTAGTTTTTTTTTTTTTTTTTGCAAACCGGGCCGGGTCACTGGTTGAACCGACCGGGTCGCGCCGGGTCACACCGGTTCTGTAACATGGCCGGTCCAATATGAAAACCGGACTGGTTACATGACCGGTTCACCGGTTTTCGGGTCGACCCCTCCGGGTCGGTCCGATTTTTATAACATTGAGAATATATATACATGCCAGTTATTTTTATGAGAAAAACATTTATTCTTTTAAATTGTATAATTTGTGTCATTTTATTTTCATAAAGATATAGGACTTATACTTTTATTTTATTTTTATCCACTCTTTCCATGATTTATCTCTTTCTCTCATTTTTTTTTTTGATAAATCTCTTTCTCTCATTTAAAATGACACAATTTTACATCCTTTAAAATGACACAATTTTACATCCTTTAAAATGACACACATTTTTTCTTATTTTTATATACATAATAATCAAAATTAAAAGTATAACTTAAACTAATTGATATAAAATGATCTTAAATCTCTCTCTCTCTCTCTCTCTCTCTCTATATATATATATATATATAATATGTCATTTTAAATGGCATAAGTTGTATCAGTTCATAGACACAAAGATGTGTGACAGTATAAGTTCCACTAAAACAAAAAGTAAAAATAAAAAATAAATAAAGTTACGAATTTTATCTCTTTGTATTTATGAAATGACATAACTTGTATAGTTTAAAATGATACTTATTTTGGCTATAAAAAATGATACTTATTTCTCTCTCTCTATATATGGTTAAATCATTTCTACCACGCTTTACGTATAGCAATGACAGATGTATGGTTATGATTTCACACATTTAATGCTTTAATCTTTTGTATAGTTATGATTAGGGGTGAAATTGGGCCGGGCTGGCTTACAGGGGCCTACGGCTCGGCCTACGTCAGGCGAGACCTATTCTTGTAAATTTTGTAAAATAGGTCGGGCTTGAGCCTTGAAAAAACTTGTTTAATAAAAAGGTCGTAGGTCCACTTTCACAAGGTCTGGCCTCTAAGCCTACAGGCCGGCGTATATTGTACTATTTATTTTAAATAAAATAAAATAGAATAAGTATGCCTTGAAGAAAAAACAAAAGATATAAATTTAATCAATTGCAATTATTTATAACTTAATTATATTTGATTATATTTTAATAGAAATCTATCTTTATTTCTTATGTAGGAGGAACCAACATCTCAGCATGTTAGATTGTGTATATGAATATATTAAAAAGTTTTTGGGAGAGGTTATACTTACTACAAGCATCATGATCTGTTTGTTGGATTCATGTAGTTATTTTAATTTACATAATATGAATTTGTTTGTTGGATCTGATAAAATATATGTTATTTAGTTTAAGCATTTTGCTTTTGAAAGTGACTTGAATGCAGATTGTATGAGTTTTGTTGTGATTCATGATTCTGTTTGGACGTTGAAATTATGATTTTTGGTTTAGCAACAGAATTTGATTATTTTGTAAAGTTGATTCATGATTATGCTTGGAAGTTAAAAATTAACAGGCTAACGAGCTAGGCCAGACCATTTGTTTTTTTATAAAGGGGTCAAACCAAGCTAACAGTTAGACTCGTACTAGGCTTGGGCCAGACCAAATTAAAATTTTTTCGCATAGGCTTGGGCTTTTCAGGGCAAACGCCCAACCTAGCCCACTTTCACCCCTAGTTATAATTTCCCGCATTTAATACTTTCACATATATATATGGTAAGTATTTGATTGCTACACGTACAACAACCGTAGAAATGTAAAGCCATATATATATATATATATATATATATATATATATATATATATATATATATATAGGGCTTATCGTTTCTCAAGCTGCTTGAGATAATCTTATCTCCGGCTACTAAATCATAACCATACAAAGATGGATCAATAGTGATAAAGAAAGAGAGAGAAAAATGAAATCATAACCATTCAAAGGTGATTGGATTAATATAAGAAAATAAAATAATAAAACGACGTAGTTTTGGGGTAGCCGGAGATAAACTTATCTCAAGCTGCTTGAGAAATATTTTTCTCATATATATATATATATATATATATATATATATATATATATATATATATATATATATATATATATATATATATATATAATTGATGGTGATTGGATTCCTTCTCATCGCTTAATGATATGCACAAGTGTTTGGCCATGATGTCACAATTCTTTGGGTACCAGGAGGAGCCAAATCCACGGATATTTGTTGGTAAACTCGAAATCTATAGGTATGGTTTTTACCTAATAAACAACGTGTGGTTCCACCACTTGAGTGATGTGTCACCTAAACATATAATTGATGTGGATCAAAGGTTAACTATCTTCCACTGATTTCAGAATATTGCCACTTGTCAAATCATGGAAATTAATTATTGATGTCCAAATATTCTTTAACACGATAGAAGTATAACAAACATGTTCTGGGAACAATCATAAAAGAGCTCTGCTCACCATGATTAAGGTTTGGTTTCAATCAACAATCATTATCTTTTTATTTTAGTATTTCCCTCTTAAATATGGAAAATAATATGCTTTCTGTGTGCTACGAGACATTATGTAACTTGAGGAAAAAGGGAAAGTACATGGAATTGGTGTAAGGGAATCTAAAAATAATAAGGTTTTTTTTTTTTATATTGTGAGATAAATAAAATGAGATTCATCAATTTATTTATTTTTTAAAAAGAGATACACCTCTTTTTATGTGAGTGTAACATAAGAAATGAATCTTATACATAGAGTATAATTTCCCAAATAATAATAGTATTTTGTCTGTTTTAAAATAATTATCATTTTAGAAGTTGTCGTTTATTTCAAGGTTTTATGTTTGTTATATTACATATCATAATTTTACTTTCCTACACACACAACAAAGGAGGAGAGAGAAAATAGAATGATAAAAGAGAGAGAAATATGTGGATCCCACCTCTTTGATGTGTGTGTAGAAAAATAGAGTTATGTTATGTAACATAACAAATATAAAACCCTTATTTTAAACTATTTATTATTCTAAATTTTTTTAAAAGATTATTACTGCAAACTTCATGTTAGGATTGTATATTACTTCATGGCAACATCACCTACCAATGCTACCATATTCTATAAGACTTGAGACTTAAGAGACTCGAATGCAATCGAAGACTATATGAATTAAGATTAAAAGTGACCTAACATGCTAGTTATTGTCACCTACAAATAATTTTCTCGACATATCAGAAAATTATTAGTAGTAGTTACACTTTAAAATGATCCAAAATTTCAATACTCATCTAGTTTTTTATATGGAGCTTCGAACCAGGCCAAAGACTCTACGGCCACTATTCAATACGATAGAAAGAAGAAATGAGCTATGTACAGTTTGGAACTAACGTATTATTAGAATTCGACCTTTATCAGCCTTAGATATTGCGAGAGCATGGCAAACGTATGGTCTGTGTTAATTCATAAGGGCCTGTGGGCTTATACATTACATAATGAAATGAATGTTGCGCATACCTAATTTAGCAATACAAATTAACTTGACATTCATTAACATCAAACGATTTAGAATAGGTAATATGAACATGTACACGTCATTAGAGACGTGTTAGTGGTGATTGGGTGAATCACTTGATGAGTGGTTAATTTGTATGATATCATAATTATAACCAAAAATTAAAGAGAGAGGGAAGAGTGAAGAGAATAGCAATGTTTCCAAGAAGATAATTTTATTGATCTATAAGCGTATAAATAATGGGATAATATCGTTAAAAAGGGATTGTATTGTGTTGTATCTTACCAGTTTTGTATATTAACTTTATTTATAGATTTTCAATCAT